TTTTTTGGAAGTTTGGAAAATATAGAGGGAAAAAGAGTGTTTGAAGATTTCTGGGAGCGTAAAAGTTAAAATGATCAAGCTTGGAACAATTTATAAGCTTGTGGGAGTTCAAAGGACCTCAAATCAGCATTAAAGAGCTGATAGTTAGTGGGGCACGTGTCCCACAATGGTTGTTTGATGAAACGTGGGCAGTTAATGCCTAGTGCACGATTTCCTAGGATCTAGGGATTGTGATGATGGCTAGAGATTGTGGCATGCTTTGATGAGACGTGTTTTCAGAAATGTCCATGATGGTTTCGACGTCATACGTTTTTGGAATAGTAAAATACATGCAAAAGTCATTTGAGGCGTCGAATGATACTATCAAAAAATGTCTTGTTCTTCATTGATGTCTAAAATGACATTTTTGGGGGGCAATTTGTTGGCTCCTAATTTCGACGCCTGAATGAAATTAAAAGTAACAAATAGAGTTCCTAAATAAATCTAATTACTTCGACGGGAGCCATGTTTTTAAATGGGAGTCGAAGGCGTCCTTTTGCCAGGAAAATCTATGTTATGGACTTAGAGATATTCCTCAGGAGTTGGAAGACTCGATTCGACAAAAGCGTTGCTAAGGGTATTTCGACGAGTTTGTTTGAATTCAAATAAAAGAGGGAAAATCTATTTTTAAGAAAGACACGTGGAACGCCTCTATGATTCGAAGGCATGCAGAAGTGACACTTGTCTTGCTTTCGTTTGTTAGCCGTTAATGACAGTTATGTTTGATTATTATAAATAGTAGGTCTTAGTGTTAAGATGTGTGGGTGTTCAATTGTGTGCAAATTCTTCAGTATACTCCAAGTATCTATGTGTTAAGAGAAACAAGTTTGTAAGAATATACATTGACTAAACACCAAATTTTCATTTCAATGCAATTTGATAAATCTCTTTCTTTAAGAATTTATTCTTTCTTTATGCAAGTTCTTATCTTCGTCATTTACCAGTATTTCGATTTCACTTACTGTCACTTAAATTCATTTACATTTGTAATAAGTTACTTTATCATGAACTTTGTCAAAGTGTTCATAGTTTTTATAAATTTCATTTAAGATCAATTAGCACATGTCCTAGGATTTGTGTGGTCAATCCTGCAAGTAAAACATATATTTTTTCGATTTGTAAGACCATTGGTTGTTCACCAATTTTCATGGAAAACACCGAGCAGGCAAGTTCTTCAGTTTCTATCTCACATAACGAGAAATCGAGGTAAACCCCGACAAGTGCAGGGCGTTCTCCGAGTTCTCCTTACCAAACTCGAAGAAATTGATCCAATTACTAAATAAGATGCTCACCCTGTTGTCCCGCTTCATGGCCAAATCGGCCTAACATGCACTTCTATTTTTCAAACTCCAACACAAAGAGGCCACATTCAAGTGGACCGAGGAGTGCAAGCAAGCACTCCTCCACCTCAAACAAGTCCTCTCGCATCCTCCAGTCCTGTCACAACCAGAAAATAGGGAGACTTTATACTTGTACCTCGTCGTCACGACTGAGGCAGTCAGTACGGCTCTTATCAGGGAAACCCCTGAAGAACAAAAGTCGATATACTTCACCAGTAAATCCCTCCAAGGCCCCGAGCTTAGGTACCAACAGATTGAAAAGGTTTCTCTGGCCCTCATCACTGTGGCCAGAAAGTTACGACAATACTTCTTGGCCCACACGATCATGGTAAGGACGGACCAACCCGTGAGGCAACTCCTCAAATGGTCGCTCGAGCTCTCCGAGTTCGACGTCCAATATGAGGGTAGGAAGGCCCTGAAGGCTCAAGTACTAGCCGACTTCGTTACGGATTTGAACTCTGTCACTCCATGAATGTATAATCACGGTTAAATGGTTTAACTGTAATGTTATGTCTTTTTGTAAATATAAAAAAAAAAGAATAAAACGCGTCCAAAAAAGATGTATTATCACGGTTAACTGTTAGGCCGTTGTAATTTAGTGTTACCAAAGGTATATTTTGTAGTAGTGTATACTACAAATAATTGTTCCTGACACTTTAACCCTAGAGATTTTACACGTCTTTGAATGCATGCAACTCATCTTCCAACATATTGCCACATCGTCATGGCTTTGAACCTGTTGAAACCATTATCCCACATTTTCTAACTACTCTTAACCACTAGTAATTCCCTGCTTATCGAAGGTAGTTGCTGATAGTGTTAAGTATCTTCTATATTTAGTTTCCTCAATTTCCTAAGTCCTTGAGGCTTGTTGAAGGACTCGTCATCGACATGTTGTCGAGTAGTCACTCAGGTCTGTCTCTGAGCTCCTCCAAACCCCATCTTAAGATCTGATCTTGAGGTTCTTCCAAACTATATCTCAAGATGTTGTTCGGCAAGTCTTAGTCGGTGTATCATCATTATCGACTCTTATGCATCAATGCTAACACTTAGCATTCACCAATGCAACATTCATTTGAATTTCCATACTAAGTAAAGAAAATTCCAAGCTAACAGTAATCTACTATAATACGGCCAATAAACATCCAGTACAACTCTATCACCCGATTCCCTCTAGACGAGGAAAAGGCACAAATACATGGTCAATCCTTAATGTAGTTCATCTCATCTTTCCAGTTGGATATGGAGGAATGTGAGAGATGATCCATGCATGAAAATGGTTCAAATAATACATTAGTAACAAGGGTAACACAAGTGTTATGAAAAATATTAGTAAACAGTAAAGGTTGCAAATATATTACCGTAAACAACATGCAACTTTCTATCATCTATCTTGTCTTCCAAAGACAAGTTTCGTCTAGTTTTAAGTACAAATAAACAAAACATATGGGCGCTCAGTTGTACTCGTGGATCCGTTTTAAGTCAATAAAGTATGTCAGGTCGACAACATCGATGTATCTTGCACTCTTTTCCATTAATATTGTTGTGTCAACCAAGTAGATGAAGTATGAATTTAATGCATATTGTCTATGGAACAAAATCTGCACGTCACCACCTTCGGCCTCCACTACTGCAACCAGGTGGTATTTGTACAATTGTGCCAAGTGTGAAAATAAGACATGAACTCCTCTTGTGGCATCAAGCTCCTAATGGACTTCACCTGGGTTAGCTCCCAAATAGTTTACCATCAATTCAAGTGACTCAGATTTGTCGATTTAAGAATGGTTTAGTAATCTTCCCCTATTTGAAAGATGCAAAAGGTATGAGACGTCATCAAGGGTGATTGCCATCTCACTATAAGGGATATGGAAAGATGACGCCTCCTTGTGCCATCTCTCCATTAAACTCACCAACATGCTACGATTAATGGTTTTGTATCTAGTGGCGCATAAACCTGCTAGCCAAAGTATTGAAATACATATTAAAACCACGTGTCTACATTTTTTTCCACGTTCACAACCTTCCTGGTATGGTTTATAGATTTTATCGTTCCACGCTCTTGTAAAAATAAATATATCATCAGCAGTCGCAACTCAATTAGTATGAAATATATGTAATGCAAAAGTAAATAAATATACCTCTCATTCCCCCACATGCATAGCAACAGGTTCTACATAGAGAGGAAGTAAAAAGGTGTCATAGGGGACTCATAGAAAACTATTAGGAACAGAGCAGTATCAACACTAGAACCTCTTGTTGAGCTTTAGAGGCTTCATAAGTTGTACGATCAGCAAGAGACCATGCCATTAGGAGGTCAAACTCTGAGGCACATGATCTTGTGAAGTATGAGACACATGACCATGTGAAGTCGACGCTTCCGCGTCAAATGAACTAGCACTAACAAGTGGACTTAAGCGCACTACTCTCTCCCTACAGACGAACGCATGTTGGGATACACAATCGTGCCTAAATCTGTCATGGTTTTCAACCATTATTCGTATAATACAAACCATGAAATTATATCAAAATCAAGACAAGTTAAATCCAGAGATGAATCTCCGTAACATAAGAAAAGAAGATTCTGAAGATGCATCTCCATAAAAATGTACAATTTTAGAAAGTGCAGAAAATCCTCTATGATTCCATAAACATTAACAAATATGAATGCATGTCTATACAAGCTACCTTTTTTGAATGAAATACAACCTAATGCATTTTAAACGACCTATGGTACGCAATACATGCATCATAATTCAAAAATATAGAGGAAAGGAGAGTTGTTGTGCGAAAGCTTGAATGTCGTGAATGAAATGTCTTAGAATTGGTTGCAATAAGGTAGAACCAGTGTTGAAACTTGAAAATAGTCTTGTTGGTTCTTGCTCACGAGCTCTGAAGTATTTTTGAAATGTAGAAAATGAAGAAGAAATGAGGAAGGTTCTGACGCAAGATATATTAATTAAAACTCGTTCAGAGATGCATCTCTATAAAATGCATTGAGCGTAAAACACTGAATTTTAAAATGAGAATTATTACAGAACTGTATATCTAAATTCACCCTTATATAGATATAAAGATGTATGTTCAGAAATATTTTTGGACAAAAATGAAGTGAATATTCACTAAAGCTCTATAGGTGTGTAATTTGAATGAGTTGAAAATATATCTTCAAAATTTAAGAGTTTTTGTGACTTTTCAATGTAATGAAATAACACCCCTTAGGATAAAGTAATGCCCTTATCTTATATTCCTTAAAAAATGTAAATTCCACATCGATGGAGTCATGAAAAACTTCAAAAATCAAGTTTTTTTACCAATATGCCACGGTTTCTGAAAGGGTTCATCCTTCCATTAGACGACCCTATGAAGGACATAATCCCATGAAAGGGCTCGGCCAACCATTGGCCGACCCTTTGAAGGTCTTTTTTTAATAATTATTTTAAATATAAATATAAAATATTTATTATGATTTTATATGATTTAAAATATAAAAACTTATATAATAGACATTATTATTTAAATATTAAAAACTCATTACATGATTTAAAATATTAATAACTTATATAATAGACATTACAATTTAAGAAATATTTTTAAAAATAATTTAAAAACAAATAAAGTAATTTAGACGGGCCGATTTGACGGGCCTACTACATTCAGACATTTTCTACGCATATGGCCAATTTCTCGACATATTTCACGTCTTCTCTTTTCTTTCTCAAGATCATCCATTTTGGTTCTAATTCTTGTACTATTTGGACGCTCTTTCTTATTCCTTCGCATTGTCTTGTCATGGAAAATAGTGAATCCTTCATATGTTGGCCAATTTTGGTGGTGTGGAAGTCCAAGGAAGCTTTCGCTGTAGACTTTGAATACACTCAGAATCTTGAAAACATCTGGTATGTGCATGTTATGGTCCTGTCGTATACTGGCACATGCTGCGATTACATGGGAGCAAGGTAAATGAAATGCTTGAAACCTTCCACAATTGCATCATCCTCTCCTGAGATCAATGCTAAAAGTACCTAATGGTCGGCCATCGTGTTGATTAATGCTTTTGGCAACCATAAAACAGAACCTCTCGCGATCAAATTGAATGACATTATGGCTGCTAGATTTAATCGCTTCGTCGACCATTCCCTTATTACAGTTTTCGTGAAAGTTTGACCGGATGCCAACATTTTTGTCCAATCGTGTCCTCGTTTTCCGAACAGCGATCCCAGACGATAGAACGTTTACTTGACCAATGTTGTAATAGGAAGGTTTCAGGTAGCCTTAAGTCCCGAGTTCATAACTTCGACCAAATTTGTTGTCATGTGTCCCCACCGCTGTCCTCTGTCGAACGCCCTCGACCACTTCTCTTTGGGAATACTGTTTATCCACTCCAAAGCTGCTCTATTTGTTCTTCGTATTTCGCCCCTGTAGTAGTTAAATGTTGTCTCTATTAGTGCATATCCTGTAGATGAAAATGTTTAAACAAAATGTTCAGTAAAACATATGAAAATCAATTAGTCGATAAATAAAAATTGAAACATCAACTCGTGAAGATGTAGGCATACCCATGTTGACAACTGTTTTCCGTAGTTCCTTGTCTTTGAACTCACGCATGAAGTTTTGCGCAATGTGTCTGATAGAGTAAACATGTGAAGATGGAGGATACTGCCACTCATTTTCAGGATCATCGTAAGCACTTCAAACAAGAGCCATAACTATTTACATTCTTCTTGGATACCCCTAGTAGGAGATTTAGATAAACGCAATAGATATAGTTGGGGTTCTACTTATTTAGCTACATTATATAAGCATATGTGTAAAGCATGTAGGCTAGGGGTAAAAATTATTGGAGGGTGCATTCTCCTACTAAGTGTTTGAACATATTGGCATATACTACTAATTGCTCTAGAGAGTTCTATTGATTCATACCATCCTTACGCAACAAGGTAATAATTATTTACATTTTCTTTTCTTTTCTTTTTTTTACATCCCTTTATTACATTTCTTTCTTTTAAAATTGCAAGATTTGTTTGAAGAGGCATGACTTACCAAAATAATCCTCGGCACTACGTCTGAGGATTTAGATTTGCACTAGATAGATTGAGGGTTAACGATGTAAGTTTGTTACCGCTACATTTTCTAAATATATGCTAACATTTGTATTTAAACTCTAACTATTATATTTTCTGTAACAGTTTATTTGGAGGCCCTATCCAAACTACCTAGAATGCGTCCTTGCAGATAGTCAGATTTGGAGCGCGACCACTTTAATTATCAGTTTTCATATTGTTGAAATACATCAAGCTGATATGGTAAAATTACAGTTTGGATTTCAACAAGATATCCCTTCTCAACCTAGATGTCTACGTGAACAACATGAAACTGAAATGCCCAATACATGGGGAGATCATTGGAATAGAGAAGAGAATACCGAGTGGAAAAATAGAAAAAAATTGACCCTACAAGGTAACATGGTTAACGGTAACTATGTTCATAGTATTTCATATATGCAATGGTTTTTATCCATTCCATTTATGCATGCTTCTCAAGGCCAGTTCCTAGAAGACCCCAGTCAATATGCATCATTTTAATCACAATAAATATCCTCATTCTCCATGCCTTAGGAAATGCCTCGGATGAACCGTTCGCAATTTCAATCCCAGACATCTTCATTCACCCAGCCCACATACCAACACCCCCAACACACACAACCCCAACCAACATATCAACACACTCATACCACATTCTTTGCCACCTCCTCTCAACAACCAACACCATACACCCCAACCCCACAACATAACTTCTACTATCACCAAGATACCAAGAACAAACCATATTTCGACCATCTTTCCAATTCACTCCAATTCCTCGACCTAATTTTGATTTCTCTTACCCCCAATCACAACGCCAAACATTTAACCCTTCACTGTCTCAACCGACTTCTACCGGCCGCACTGGCGATGTTTATTACCTTTCCATCCAACAAAGCCCTCCAACCACCTTCAACTAACCATCCCAACCAGTCCCCAACTATCTCCTAACTGATAATCAACTTATGGAATGGCCAGATTTTTCTGTTACTGATGTTGACATGATCGATACATCACATCAACCTGAAAATGAAGAGTTGTCTTTCGACTCTACCTCATCACCTACAAGACAGCAACCCGAAGAGTTAGGCATCGGGAAATGAGTAAAAAAGAGTAAAATTTGTGGAACTGACGGTCATTTACGTAAACAAAAATGATGTATCTTTTTCACTCATCGATATTAATAAAATTGCTTTTATTTATGATTTTATTTAATAAGCAAATTATTTTAATTAATTAAATAATTAATTAAATGTTATGAAAAATATTTAATAAAATTATAAAATTAATTAAATTATTTATTTATTAATATTTTAAATCATGTAATGAGTTTTTAATATTTAAAAAATAATTAAATATATAAAATCATAATAAATATTTTATATTTATATTTAAAATAATAATAAATAAAAAAAAGACATTTAAAGAGTCGACCAATGATTAGCCAAGCCTCTTCATAGAATTATGTTTTTCATAGAATCGTCCAATAAAAGGATAAACCCTTTCAAAAATCGTAGCATATTGGTCAAATTTTTTCAACCTATGACAATTTACTACATTTAATTTTAGTGTGTGGGATATTGGTAAAAAACTCTCAAAAAAATCCCAATTTTGACCACCTTTAACAATTGTGAAATTATAGTTTTATTCCGCTAAAAAAACCTCTGCACGTGTCTTTGTTTTTCTCGTATATAAACTAAACTAAACGCTAGAGTCTCGCATTTGAATGCGATTCGAGACACATCTCCAGTCTTCCCTAACATCACAATCCACCGACCAACCCTTCTATTCCATCAAGGTTTGCAATTCACATCATTTCGATTTTTCTTCTCATTTATCAGCTCTGATTTTTGTTACCGAAAAACCCTTGATTTTTTTATTGTCTTGTTCAATATTTTTGCCCTAAAAAACGTAGGACGAGATTTTAGAGGTGAATAATTCTAGGGTTTTGGATTATTTCGTGAAAATTTTGAAACTTTGACATGAAAATTTAAGGGTTTTAACTTTGGCTATTTTATATTTGAATGTCAAGCAGTTTGAAGTTGAGGAAAAAATATGGCTGGCGGCAATTTTATGCATAGGGTTATCTCTTATTTCGTGAATGAAGTGGTTGTCAATGGTCTTGCCAACAGGTGCTTTTTTTTTTTAATTTCGAAATTTTAGTTTTTGATTTATGCATATGATTGTTGAGGTTGTAGGGTTCTTTCTCTGGTCATTAGAGAGACAGATAGAGAACCTCAAATTTCTTAGATTTTTGTGGTTTTTGAGAGATTTGCTGTTTGGATAGAACATTATGGCGTAATTTGATTCATCTAGCTGATGCCACATAGTGGGATAAGGCTTGGTGGTTGTTGTTGTTGGATAGGGTTTGATGCCCCTGTCGAAACAACCCCCAACCACTCCTCCCATGTCTTGCTTCTAGCTGAAGCTGGTGATTTTCCATACTCCCTTTACTGACTAGCCTCCTCTGCTGATATGCTCACCCAATTTCCGTTAACACGTGTCTGCTGATCTGCCGTGTTCCGGCTTTTGATCACGCCTCTCTTGGATGCTTTGTTCATTCTTTTCCTGTGTTGTTGCAGTCAATCTTGGGTAGTGGCGGCATTTCAGCCGCAAAACTTAGTGGGATGGCTGCTATATTTTTATTTATATTATTATATGCTAGTTATAGTCATATTTAATAATAAGAAGTTTATGTGTCTTGAGATAAATGGACTAGTTGGTAGGAACAAAAGTCAAGGAAAGAAATAAGTTTAAGCCTCTAAGGCAAAAATGGGCACCTGCATAAAAAATAGAGATGAGAAGACAAAAAATGGGCAACAAGAAAGAAATTGAATATCATCTGATATGCAATTGAGGAAGAAGTCGGATTGGAGTAGTTGGGTGCAAAACGAGGAGTATGATTGGTGCTGCCAACGGACTGCAGAGGCAGAAGGGTTTGGCAAAGACTCACATCTTAACCTATGAACCATCGAGATTAGAGAGTTGATACATGCAAACAACCCTGACAAAGACATACTTTTGATTCTTAACAAGCATAAACTCGAATCTGTAAGAGCATAGACAATAAATCAGTTCTTTCCATTTTCCTTAAAAGATCAAATTTATAGTTTTGGCATAAACTTGGATGACAACAACTAAACTTTATCCCATTAGGTGGTGTAGGCTTTATGGATCAAACAGTACAAATTTCCTATTATGAATCTGATAGGATGCTTTTCTCTAAATATCTTTAGTGGATTGTTTATAGTTTCTTTTCGTCTCCCTCTATCTTTAACTATTGGGGTATCTTCCATTTGATCAACCCGCTTTACATGTGTTTCTATCGTTATTCTAATTGCATGTCCAAACCACCTAAGTTAGTACTTTACATGTTTTTTCTACAATAAGAGCTACCCTAGTTATCTTGTATAACCAACTTTGCTAGTATCCGTTTGTTTCCACATTGAAAATTATGTAGCTGTGCATTTAGCGTGAAGCTAAGATATATAGCTTTTCAAAATTGCATCAAAATTGTAGTTGGGACGCTGTATTAGTGATTGAAATGCATAACCAAACATGCTATTAGTTCACATTGTTAATAGCTATTTGTTGTCTTACAGCATTGAAGGTTGGACCAAAGGTACCGAAAACATGAGATGCATATTTATTTATCTTTGCAAAACTTGCATTCCATATATACTCCCACATAGGAAAAAGTTACGTGTCTTAATCTAATTCTTTGACTTCTCTTCTTGCTATTCTTCTGAAAGCTATAAATAAGCTTCGGACTCTGATTAGTGTACTCGATACTTTGACTGTTGCATTGAAATATTTAAAGGGCTCTTGAATACTATGTTATAATAGTTATAATGAAACTAACAATATATTAAGTATAAAAACATATATTGTCTTGTAATTTAAATTGGAAGTAATCATTGTTCATATTTTCATATTATATTAATTAAAAAACAATTTAATATTCCAAAAGCTTTATCTGTAATCACACTGTATATCAACCAATATCCAGCAGACTGTTTTTTCTGGTGTGATGAGGGATCTTTTCCAGCTTTCCAAACCCATGGAGGGATTGTCTCAGTTTCCTCAACTTGCTTTTACATGGGCAAACTCAACTTTTAGTCTTTTAACGAAATCAAGTTAATTTAGAATCATATTTGAAAAATATTTATCCAAACATACACAGAATCATGCAATCTGGATGGGATTAGAATTTTGTTTGACCAGTGAGACCTATTGTTTATACTAATGACATTTAAGGTGTTCATAGACCAGGATTTCTTGCTTTTGTATCATCTAAGTAGTTAAGAGAAATGCATTTTATGTAGTTGCTGCATAGTCCTTGTTTGCTTTCTACCATGTTTCTCATGTTAATGTTTCACTGTGGTTTTACAGTCCTGCATTTCAGAGGTTTGCAGTGAGGACATCAAAGAATATTGAAGATATTTCAAAAAAAGGTAGTAGTAGCAAAACGATTTGCTTTATAATATTGATCATGTGAACAAGTCAGTTTGACGCATGTGTTATTGTGGCAGCTATTCAGAAGCGACAAGAACTCGCTGAGCAGCTAAAGGACCTTCCCCAAAAGATGGATGTAATACTGATAACATAAAATTAACTATTGATAATGTGTTGTTCATCTTTTAACTTTTTCTATTGCTTTTCCAGTCTTTCAAGAACCGGTGATTCTGTCATTCTTGCTGTGTTGCTGAAGGACAATAATGCCTGATTCTCTTTACCAAAGTTGCTGGTGGAAAGTATGTAAATTTAGTTTTGCAGTTTATTTTTTGGTTTGTTTCACATGGTATGTAATGGCTGAACCAAAAACAAGATTAGGATACTAATTAAAGTTTATGATGCTGTGTTACAGCATATCATTCCGTTTCTATTTGTAACTATTGAATGGTTATTTGCACATTGATATAGAAATTTAAACAGTGACATTTTTTGAAGTATAATAACTATAGATTAACAATGTAAAGTTAAGCTTTACTCGGAGGTTTATTTATATTTCACCATCTTATCATTGTAGAACACATGTTTGAAGAAATAATATGATGTGATAAGATGGTGAACTGTGATTGAATGTTTGTGTAAAATTTACATATCTGGTTTCCATGTCGAGGAATCCCATGTGTATCGAGTGAGGCTGTTGTAACTAAATTTTATGGTGTGTGTTGTTTGGTCTAGTAGTCCTGAAATGTACAAGATTGTTGGAGGTGGTTGTTTGGTTGGATAATGAAAGCATGGTTAGTTAAAAACCTTAGAATAATTCAATTATTTACTAGTCCTTCTCTTCTAAATGTAATGAAAGCATAACTTTTCATACAAATTTACTAGAACTTTATAGTTATACTTGCTAACAAGTGCCTAACAAAATGCTCATCTTCAAATTTCCATTTTCAATGAATGCAAAATCAGAAACACTAATAAAGTGTTATTTTAATATGAAGATAAAACGTAGAAAAGATTAAGTAACAAAGAAGTGTAAGGGTATATCATTCAAATTAGTCACTATATAGTCAAACTTATGGCTTAACTTTTTACATTAGTTTCTATATATACTAGATAATTGAACTCAAGCAATTTGCTTACAAGTTATTTAATATTGTCATTATATACCATTGTCATCAATAATTACCTAGTACAAAAAAATGATCAACTACATAATAGAGTAAAAAGAGTATCAATGTATGGTATTTGAGAATAGACTTGTAATAAAGCCTACAAATGGTATATTTCGTGTTGGGGCTGTTAGCCTGATTCCTCTCATGTAGGAAAGATATCAGACACTAAAGGTGTTCTGCATTTCAAGAAAATAAAACAACACAACCAAAACAAACCCTCAAAATATAAGTAGAAGAATCAGACAAACATAAGAGAAAAGAAACCTTGACTCCGACCCCTAAACAAAACTGCATATTGGCAGTTCAAATCCTTTGAAAAAACAATAAGTACAAATTCTCCAAGCCACCATCGCACCTCTTCAAGTTTGAAAAAAAAAACTATGTCGGTTCAGGTAGAGAATAAGTTTTGCTAACTTCTCATAAAAAGTATCAGAGTAACGAAAATCTTATTAAGATATCACTTATAGTAGTATTAAGATATCACTTATAGTAGTATCTGAGTAACGAAAGTCTTATTAAGATATCACTTATAGTAATAAGAGAATCGGCTAATTTCTCCACATTTACTATCATATTCGTAGATTTTAAATAAACCACGCTATAGGGTCAAATCAAGTCAGGTAAACTCTAATCTTAAACTTAACCCTTAATCATTTAAGCATCTCAAACAACAAAGAAATCTTTATGAAAATTATCATCTCATAGGCACAAAAAAAAATGCAGATTAGAATCTAGAAACACAAAAGAGATTCAACATAGATCCACTAACACCTGAAGAAACTTCTAAGAGAATATTATCACTTTAGAAGAAACTCAATTGATCTGACCTGATCAGAAGAGAGCCAGTGACCTGCCACGCGTCGTCAATCTGAGAGATGTCCACCGGAAGTAGGGAGGAGGAGGAGGGTGTACCTGCAAGACACTCTGATGCCAAAGTAAGTAATGGACCAAAGTGGGAGCAAATACAGAGAAGAGGTTAAGAAGTGAATACCTGACCCTCTAGTGAAAGAGGGTATTTTTAGTGAGACCCCAGCGCAGGGCCAACGGTCACTTGCGTTGGGCTGATGGCCAGACCCAACCCAAGTGACTGCTAGGGCTTACGTGGCGTAGTGAAGACCAACACGTGGTCTTCATCCTAGTTCAACCGTCCCGTTATCTCTATAAGGTGGGCTAACCAGCTCTTTTGGAGGTGGGTAGTTGGCTGATGACGTGTCCCCGTGGAGGGGGCACGTGGAGAACGGGTAGAGGACGCGGGGTTCTGCCCGACAGAGGGAACTGTGCCCGACACTGAGTGATTTGGGCCTATTTGGACCCTCCCTCAATAGCGTTGGGTTGGGCATGCCCGACAGATGGGCAGGCCTGGGCCTAGTCCAAAATAGGAGCCCCCCAAGTCGTAGCTCCAAAGTAAAAGAGCGAGGACTTGACGATACTGTGTCGGGGAGGAAGAATGTGCGAGGAGGACTCTTTGTGGGCATGTTGTGTCGAGGACGAGGGAATGCGAGGATATTGGTCTCGTCTGGCCGTCAGGTCGAGGAAGGGAAGGTGGGAGCGTCCTCGTCTATCTGTGTTCGCGGGGAGAATGAAAGGTCGCGACCGATTGTAGTTGCCACATGTCTAACGCTCAATGGGTCCTGTAGGGCGGCTACCCTAGGGTACTCGAGTGCCTAGGGGTGTAACGCCCGTTCATTTTAAATTAAATTATTTATGAATTGTTGGTGTGCCTCTATGCGGGAGTGTGTCTGAGAGCGTTGGTGGGTGTCCTTAAAGTATAGGAAATCATTTAATAAATATGGAGTTTAATAATAATATAATAAATTAATGATGATGATAATTTAATAATTAGTAGTAATATTATTATTATTATTATTATTATTATTATTAGTTGTAATATTAGTGGATGAAATAAGTGAAATAAGGGAGTTATTAGAGAGGTTGTGGGAGAAAAAGGGGAGAAACACGATAAACTGCTCAAAAACAAAATTTAAGAAAAAGGTTGAGGAGAAGGGAAAGAGGAAAAAGGAACATAGCTGTAGAGAAATTGGGAACAGAGGAATTAACCGCCGGAGAGAATTCAAGGTAGTTGCAAAAGAGTCACCGGAGAGCAAACCGGAATCGGGAGTTTAGAGTTGTCCTCAATCCAAAGGTAAGGGTGGGGTTCAATTCTATAACTGTGAGTATGATCAATTTCATGAAAGGAATTGAACCATGGGGTTAGTTCCCGTAGGTTGAGAAATATTACGGGTTAATGTTTGTCTGTGCCTGAATTAGTGTTTATGTCATTAGTTCTACGTAATAATATTGGGAAACGGCGCCGATACGCGCTAATTTCCCATTTGTTGAGAGGGTTGTTATGGTGTCCTCATTTGGTTATATTATGTTGAATGTTGTGGTTGCATGATTCGTATGAAATTGTGATGCTCCGGTTATGAACAATTTGGTTGTAGGCTTAATGCCTTGTTGAGTGGTTGTTGTTGTTGGGTTGTAGTCCATAATAGATGCATCTCATAGCATATCATCCCGGTTGGCCTGTATTGGCGTTGGTTGTGCCTGTATTGGCGGCCTATAATGGCAATTAAATTGGTTGTGGAGTGCTGCTTCAAATTGGTACCACATGCATACGCATAGTTGAGTCGCATAGTGTAGCGTCATTATGTGTTTGCAAGTAATGATGAGTTGCTGAATTTTTCCTGCTAATTGTTGCATATATATGAATGATGAATTTCCTGGTAGTTCGTGGTGATAATATTTGGAGAACTGCGAGAATCTTAATTGCTGTGATATAATCCTGACATGACTTTTATCATGCCTTATGTTATAATTTTGATATCTCACCCTTTACGTTGTATGTTACCTCCGTTGGTGGTAATTTGCAGGTAACTCGGAATAGAGTGTTGTTGTTCGTTTAAGGTCGTTGGTCGCTCTGATACGTAGCACTCTTGAGGGGATGGACGCTTAATGTTATTGTTTTTAATTGTTTCCGTTGTTGCAGAATTTTTATTAAGTACTTTTCTGCAAATTGATTGCTTCTGATAGTGCCAAATGTTGGTTGTATGCACTAGACCGATGAATCGGTAGTAATGATTTCGTGACCGAGAACTAGTTGTTTTGTGAATCGATGCAAGATAATTACTTGCTGAATTTTAATGGAATTTAGTTGCAGACTTTTCTGGTCTTGCTTTGGTTATTATAAATGTTGGAAGTGTATTAAATTTCGCTGAAAAATAACAAGCTGTCTTGTAATTAAGATAGTAAACAAGTTATCGTTATTTGTTCATCCAGATCTGTGCTATGTATGTTATTAAATGCTTTGCTGCAGGTGTATGTTATCTGTTAAGGTGAAAATGTGACACCTCTGATGCGTCCCAGAATTTGTGAGTGTGATGGTCGTCATCACTCTATGACTCTCGTCATGACCGTTACAGTCGTGACATCCATGACGGTCGTCATGACCACCACGGTCATGACAGTCCCATTACGACCGTCATGTGGCCCTTTTTCGTGCACTCTGATTGTTGTTTTCTTATTTATCTGTTACAAGGGGCGCTTCGAGTCCCGTGATGGGTGTATAAATAGGCAAGTGCCTGCCCATTCACCATTTTTCGCCTTCTCTTACTCTTGCACGTAACGTTTGGGTTTTCGCAGTCACATTTGTTCGCCAGCGCCGCCGTAGCATCTGTCGCGTACTCTGTCGTTACTTCCAATCCAGTAAGTTCCTCTCTTCTATTTTTTTATTCTCTTTACACTTGGCGCCGTCGTTGGGGGAATGATGAATGCCCCGAGGAGGGTGAGGGTTTTCCGTCGAACACGGCGGCGTATCCTTAGGTTTAGGATGAAGGTCCCGATGACACTTGGGGTTGTATGATGAATGTCTCGGGGACAATCGTCATGATGAGGATGAGGATCCCGGGGACATACCTGAGTTTTAGATGAATACCACGGGGGCGTAGGATAAGGTTAGATGCATACCCCGAGGATGCCGAAGGGGACTAGATGAATACCCCGGGGAGGGATGCTTGGGTGGAAGTGCGTACTCGCTCGGCCGAGGACTGGGTAGCCGAG